TTGATAAGAATGTGTATCTGTTTGGGCAGGGGCCACAGGTGTCTCTTGTTAGTGTCCACATCATTCTCCTGAATGTGTGCTTTACACACTAAAACAATGTCTTTCCCTACCTGTTAATAACTTTAGATTGTGTGACTCAAACACTGGAAAGTTTCAGGATCTAGGTACATACAGATAAGATGTCTTTCTCTCTCTCTCCCACTCACTCTCGCTCATCCTGAAACTGTCATCTGTGACTTGTCTGACTTGGCTTTTGTGATTCTTTGCAAATCTGGAGGGAGACTGAGTCCCCTTTGACAGTGATGTATGCTCAGCTTCCTTCCATGGGATGTTTGTCTCCTGAGATGACAAGCCCTTGTTTAGGGATGGCAGCTTCCCAGTGGAGGCGGAGAGAGTGAAAGTGACTATGTCAAGAGCCTGTTGAGTCTCTGAAATCCAGAGATGGAAAGCACCCCCTGGGGTCAGTACTTCTTTCCTCCCAGTTTTCAAATATAAAAAATGAGGAACAGAGAAGGGAATGGACCTGCTGGGGTCCTTCAGCTGCTGGATGCAGGACTGAAACCTTTACTGCCTTTCCTTCATAGCACGTGGCACTTCTCTCAGCAGGCAGATCATTTCCAGAGGTGTCCATTAAGTTATGTTTCTTCCATTGTGAATTGACAAGAAGGTTAGTAGCAGTGATTTCAACTGTATAATCAGCAGGTTCTGAAAAATGTCTCTTCTTTTCTCTTCCGTGTCCTCCCTTCCTTTTCCTTCCTTTATTTTTACATTTTTATCGACACATAATAATTTTCTTTTTCTAATTGTTGTTCCTTAATGGTCAGATTCTTCTGGACCAAAATGGGTACATACAGTAAGATTGAGATCTCTGGATCCTTCTGAAGGTTATGCTCACTTTGCAAATGGGCCTGATACTGAGAAAACGTAGGAGCCTTGGCAGATAAGGAAATTTTGCATACCTTGGATCTAAGAATAGCCAAAGCAAAGCTTTTCACAGGTTTTTCCATTCCTTATTTGGCTTTTTCTTTGGCCCTTGATGGAGATTCTGAAGCTATGAAAGAGTGATGAAAAACAGTGGATCTGCAGTATTGTCAAGTCCTAGGTCTCACTCTGCCTCTGCTTTGTAATACTCCTTTCTTTGATCGTTGGGAAATAAACTTTCTGAGCCTTCGTTTTCTCATCTGTAGAGAAGAAAATATCGTGCACTTCTCAGTGCTGTCCCACAGATTAAATATGGTGAGATGAGAAATGTCCCTAGCACACTGGCAGCCAGCCAGAGGGACTCAGAGTGGTGTCTCTCATCTCCGCCCTTAAGCAGTGCCCTTCTCTGTCAGGAGGTCACTTAAGACTGAGCACTTCACTGAAGCCCTCCATCCCATGGGGAAATCAGTTTTACAATCTGTACTACATTCCATGAGTCAAAAGAGGGCCGGGCAGAGGGATTCAAGAAGCATCCTAAGTCTACAACCTCTAGATAACATCCTGTATGCTCATCAGCAGATGAATAGATAAAGAAAATGTGGTATTTATGCGCCGTGGAGTACTACTCTGCCACAAAGAAGGATAAACAGGTCATTTGTAGGGAAATAGATGCACCTTGAGACCATAATGTTAGTGAAGTAAATCAGACACACAAACATAAGTCAGCCTCTCTCTCTCTTTCTCTCTCTCTCTCTTTCTCTTTCTTTCTTTTTTTATTTTGTTTTTGGAGACAGGGTCTCACTATGTAGCTGAGATTGACCTGGAACTCACTATGTAGCCCAGGCTGGTCTTGAACTCACAACGTTCCTCCTGCCTCAGCCTCCCGAGTGCTGGGATTACAGGTGTGCGCCACCACACCCGGCTCACATGCTATCTCTTATGTGAAGAATTTAACATGTAAATATAGTATGAAATAAAAGGCAGCTAATAGGAAAAAGAGAACAAGTTACTATAATTCAGCACAGACAATGTTTCTAAAAGTGTACTTTGAAATAGTACAATTGTCTCATGGGTTTTATATGGTTTTGGCCTATTAGTATGGTTTTTAATCTATATATAGGATAATTAACTTTATAGAGTCTTATAAATAAATGAATCGGATGCTGGTAAAATTTATAAATAAATGAAAGAGGGGTGGAGTAAAGGGAAAAAATTGAAATATGTTGTGTACATGTATCAATTTCCTACAATTAATGTAATCATTATTTACTAAAAACATATACTAGTAGAAGTTTTTTGTTTTTTTAAAGAAAAGACCCGAGGAAACAGAAATTTAACCTGATGTTGTTACAGAAGGTGAGTCCCAGGTATTTTTGCCCCAAAAATAGAGGGTAACTTGGGAGGAAAAAAAAAAAAGATTAAAAAAAATCTTCCTCTCAATGTTTTATGAGAAATGAAAATCAAACTGTAGGAAAGCCCAATTCAGTTTGACCCAAATGAGCAGTGGTAACTCCATTCCTTTTTTAAACCATAGAGTACAGATTTGACCCTTCAAGGGAATTTTAAAACAGACTCACTGGGTATCTAAGGCAGTTGCGTAGGCTGTTTCCGTAGGTGAGGTCTGACCCAAACACAGCTGATTATCATACTCCACAGAGTTCAGAGGTGCAAGACCTGGTGGCGCTTGGTGTTGGAGCTGTACAATGTGTTGCCTGCTCGTCCCATAGTGCGCCTTGGCCAGGCAGTGCCTGATTTGGTTCTGTCCTAAGCAGAGCTTTGGTGGGAGGTGAACTGTCACCTCCTGAGGTCCAAGACACTTGCAGATGAAACTTGGAGTAGGTGAGAGAGGTGCCCAGAGATGTCGATATGGAGCGGGAGTGGCTGTTGGCCTCTTTGCAGGGTCCTTCACCCATGTTTGAAGAGGATCCTCAGGTTATGGCCATGCATTTCCTTTTGCAGGTCATTTTGATGTTGCAAAGTACAAAGTGTAGGATGGGTCTTAGCTTTGCATTCTGCCGTCAAGACCAGGTGCTTGCAAGCAAGTTCAGATTCCTTGAACATCAGTGGCATCCATAGCCGAAGTCCAGCCTGCAGGGACAGGCAGAACCTCCTGGGCCAGTACACTACGTAGGCAACAATGGCGTGTCAACTCAAACAAGGCAAGATCTACCCATTTCAGCTTGCCAGTGTAAAGGTGAACTGTCTGAATTGTGAAAGGGCGAGTGGTATTAACCTTAGGACCTGTAGGATGGCCGTTCTGGAGAGCAGCTGGGAGCATAAATCTCTCCTGGCCGAAAAGCAGGAAGATACTTAACGGAAGCATAATTGAAGAATGTTTTTCCTTCTCTAAACCTGGTTTGGCTAGTGTCCCCGGGAATTATTTTACTCCTACTCCCAGGCAGGGCCAGCTGCCTATGGATGTGATTAAAGGACCATCAGCGAGCGGCTGCCTGCTCTAGAACCAGCCCCACTTCTCTGCTGCATTTTGAAATCCCCCACACCAGACTTGTCTTTTGAAGATAGAGGAAGTAGTGGCCCCAGAAGCAGCTGTTTAAAAGCACAAATGCTAATTGGGAGTTAGCACCCATTAGTACAGTATTACCACATAGATTGATTTATGACATTAGCTAAAACCCTTATGAGAGCAGGGACTTTGAAATCGTAAAAAGGTTAAATGAAAAAGGAAGGGACGGCAGGGACAAGGGGAAAAAATGAGAACCAAGACTTGTAAAGGTACAGGATCCCAATGATGAATGTAACTGTACTGTATACCTAAAATGTACCAATAAACTCAGTGAGAAAACAAACAAACAAAAAACATCTGGTCTAGACTTTCTGTTTGAGGATCTTGAGGCCCAGAAATGTTAACTGTTTATTGAAGGTCACCAGAAAATCAGTGGCGAAGCTGGAGCAGAGCCCAGTTTTCACTAGGTGCTTTTGTTTCCCAAATTATCTCATCTATACACCCTTTGTTTTACAATTGACAGTAATAAAATTTACACATGAGAAGTGACTACCCTGGACCCAAACCAAATTTCCCAAGTTCCTTGTCAAATATTCTGTCCTTTGTATCACATTATCTGTTTTCATAGCCATATAGTTGAAGGGAAGGATGAAGTAAGAGGTGGGTGAATGATTTGTGTTTTGGCACATCTTCTGTTAATCCATCTGTAAGCTTTGAGAGCAAACCATGTGCAAAGTACTTCAGCCACTTTGACTAATAGACAGTAAGGAGGGGAAAAGAGGAGCTGAGTGGTATAGGTATCCCCAAAGTGGGCACATGTAGAAAGATTGAGGCATAGGATGATTTGCTCGCATGAAATTCACAGAAGGATCATAAATGTCTCAACATGACCTCTTCCTGCCTTTCTCCAACTCCTCTAAACCAGTGACCTTCTGTTGTCCTTCTCCAAGCAAGAGTAAACCCTGATTTATTCCCATAGCCTTGTTGTCCATTGGCAGGGAGATAGTAGGGTACGTTACAGGACTGGTAGCACAGGGCTGTGTGCATAATTGGCATTCATTTTGATCCATTTCTTAGGGCAGAGCCTCGTTAGGCTCTCTACTGAGTGCCGACTGTATGTAGATAACATTTTACTACCAGTTCTCATGGCAAACTCAAGAAGTAGATATCATCATTCCTAATGTACAGGTAAGGGAATTGAGGGCCAGACAGGTTACCTTTCTTGCCTGGAGTTAACCTACCTATAAATTTCAGGTCCGAACTTAGGGTGAAATCTAACCGGTTACTCAGGCAGACCTACTCACATGACCTCCGGGCCCTCTCCCATCACCAGGCAGCCCCACAGGACATAGCACTTCTCCCTGTCTAGTCCGTTAGCTCTCTGGTCTGTGAACATTCTCTGAGGACACCTCTCATAATGTGATTTATAGAAAGGATGCTTTTTTTTTTTTCTCTTAGTCCCCTTTGTTTCAGTGTAAAGCCCAGTCACCTATAGAATTGACAGCCCACCTCCCTAGGCAGGCTGAAGATTGTGGGTGAGATTAAGGCCCACTTCATGGAGGGCAGGGACCGCATTTGGGAAACACTGTTCACTAACACTCCGCTGTCAATGCAGGTTTGGAGTGTAGCTTCGACTTCCCCTGTGAGCTGGAATATTCTCCTCCACTGCATAACCTTGGGAACCAGAGCTGGTCCTGGCGCCATGTGCCAGCTGAGGAGGCCTCCCAGATGGACTTGTTGGATGGACCTGAGGCAGAACATTCTAAGGAGATGCCCAGAGGTAAGGGTAGAGGCTATTAGAAAGTCTCTCGGATGGGCCAGCATTAGGCTGGGGTGTTCTTTTCCTGTTTGAAATGATGAGGCTTTTCAACAGTCTCTGTTCATTTCCCTTGAAACCTATTTTTAGTATATATGTCTCTCCGTGCCTTCTTGGGCCATGGCAGGAAGAGGACTATGTAATTTTAATGACAAGGTCAGCCCAACCCTTTCCCCTTTTACCAAGTAATAGACATAGGATTTCATAGCTCTCTTCCATACAGATTTTCCCCAAGGTAAGATGGAGAAAAATGTGCTTATCTCTTTGTCAACTTGTGATGGGGTTGTCAAGTAAAATGCAAGATACCTGATTAAATTTGAATTTCAGGTGAACAACAAATGATTTGCAGTATAAGTGTATCTCATGCAATTATTAAAATATAGTGAAAACTATCCCACTTTTACTAAAAACTTCAAATGTGATTGAATGTCCTACATGTTCAGTTTCTAAATCTGGCACTCTTAATTTGGAGGGTAAAGCAAACTAGGTTAAAGTGTGTTTCAAAGCTACTCGTGAATATTCAGGCTTCATGTTTGTTGCGCATGGTCGTTCCCATAGTTCTGAACTGTTTATGAACTTTCCCTTCTGAATTAGTCCAGACCTGAGCAAGGTAGACGCAGAATGAACTTGTTCCACATTTGTAGAGATTTTGGAGAGAGATAATAGAGGTACTAAACTCTAGTCCAGCCTTCAGATCTCTCCAATCCAAACCTGAGGGCTCCTGATTAATTCCTTGGGATCAGAAAATTCTGCTGAGCCCCAATTGACAGCCTGTCTTTCTGTTTTGGGGGAAGAAATACTAACTGATGTGGTAACAAGCTTACGAGACAGTCAGAGTGGTGCTTAGCCTTTACAGAGTACTTCTGCCCACACTGTCTCGTTGGGATTGAATTTTGTGTGGGAAGAAAGGCAGATGAGAAAGCCAGGCCTCAGAGAAGGGGACCGACTGCACACAGAACAAATCAGTCATTCTCATGGGTCCAGGGTTAAACGTCTGTTGTGATGAATCTTAGATAAGGGAACTTTCTACCGCATTGTTTCCATCTTTGTAGCAGAAACTATGGCCAGAGCCTGCTCTGTGGCTGAGCACTTGAGGGTGATTATCTCGGGCTCATGTAACTCAAGAGCTTAACAGAAATGGGGCTCAGGTAAGCTGATGGAGGTGACACAAAAATAATTAATTCTCTCAGGTTTACATTGTACATCAGTCTTGAACCCGGCCGTGACAACAGAACAGAGTTTTCTGCACGTTCTTCTGAACTGACTTTTTTATACTTGTGATTCTCTTGAGATTGCCTAATGTTGATTTATATTTATATTTTATAAACTACTTTCATTTGGATACTCATATGTATTGTGTGTGGAGGGGGGTATAGGTGAATGGCTCTTAATGCATTCAAATCTTCTAAAAAAAAGTTATGAAAAATATTTAGGGCTCATAGCCCAAGATTTCTATTCAGTAGATGAGAGATGGAGCCTGGGAATTTGCATATTTTAAAACTCTGTTTTGAAATCTAACATGCAAAAACCAAATATAACATGTGCACATAGGTTAAAGATTACAATAAAACTACCATCTCCGTCCTTATCACCAAGCATAAGAATCTGAATACTGTCAGTTCCTTTGTCTCTCCTTCCTCAGAGATAGCCACTATCTTGCATTTGTATTAATAATTCATCTGCCTCTCTTTAGGGCCTTACTACCTAAGTATGTAGTCCCAAACATCATGTTGATTAGATTTTCACATTTGGGACTTTTTAAATATAAACGTAATCATACTGTTCTTTTGTGATTTTTGCCTTTTGACACAAGCCGTGGTTCGTTGTTCTGGTACCATATTGAATCTGTTGTATAAAAATAGTACAGTTTTTCTTTTTCTGTCATTGGTTATTTGGGTTGTTTCCTGGTTTCTCCAATTATAAACAACACTGCTGCATGTGATTTTGCACACATCTCTTGGTACTCATGTCCAGAGTTGCTCTAGAGAATGTAACTAACAGAGCTTTTGCTGGGGGCGGGGTTGTGCATCCTCTGTCTTGTTAGGTACTGTCAATCTATTTCCCAGACCCGGAACACTGATTTATATTATACTCTCCCATCAGTGGTGTATTAGTGTTCCTTCCCATGACTTCATGTTCTTGCGAAACACTCATATTGCCATTTTTATCAACCTATTAGAAAAAAACACAGTGTCTTATTGCTATTTCAATTACCTTGAGAGTTGTTTTTAAACACATTTTTATAAGTCACCCCAGTGATCCTGAGGTATAGTTCTTGTACTGATGCCAGGGTCATCCTTTCAGATTTGCTTCTGTTCAGCCATGCTCAGGGATATCTGTGGATTTCATTACCTAACACCTACAAACATATATTTTTGGCCTCTGTAGATTTGAATGATATTTATATTCCAGAGGTTGATTGTGAATCCCTGTTTCATGACATCAAGAGGGACAAGTGACACATATGTGTTTTGGGAATTCTGTAGACTTTGTGGAGTCAGACATTATAAGTTTGACAGTTGGTGCTTCTAAAAATTTTAAACCTTTCCAATAAATCATGCATTGCCATCCTCTGACCTGCTTCTTCTTCATCTTCCACCTTGTGATCTCTGGCAAATGCGTATCACACTGAGTGCCGGGAGAAAGAAAGAAGCAGGAGAGAAAGGGAGGGAGATAAAAATAAATGTTCACTTCTCGGTGTTCCTTAGTGTGGAATCATGTTGACACCTGCATGATTTTATGTGGCTTGATCCCATCGGCCGGTGTAGGTGTGTCAGTCAGGATTGGAATACCCAGTTTTAGAGTAAACGGCAGCTGTGTCTCTGCAAAGCATACTGCTACCATCAGACAGTGTGTAGCATCTATACGGACAGGGATGTCAGAGCGAAAGCCACTGTGGACGCAGTAGCCTTCTTTATGAAGCACTTTAGTGAACAGGCACATTCAAGCAGCAATAGGGGGATTGACTCACCTGCAGGCAGGAACATATGCTTATTTTTTGTGAAAATTAAGGAAAAGATCTGTACTAACAAAGTTTTGACCAGTCATGGAAACAAAGGGATCTACTTTTCAACCATCGCAGGGACTGCTTCTCCCCTGATGCTGAGAGGTGTTCAGAACATCCAATAATGGGCCTGTCATCACTTTTTGAAACAATTCATTGCATCACTACTTTTTCCCTAATGTAGGATCATGCCTTGCTGAGCAAGCTGATATTGTAATATTCCTCGCTTTTCAGGCAAAGAGGTGAAGGTGCCGAGACAGAAAATGACATGCCTGGTCTGCACAGTGACAAAAGAAGGACCCACATTCCGACCCTAGTGCCCCAGTCTTGAGAATCTCAGTTTCTCTGTCGTTGGCAGAAAATATGCTTATGATGGAATTGAGGAGGAGCGATGGGATGCTCTTCAGGATACTAGAGTCACTGCTGTATTTTTATGTAACTGAACTTTTACTGGCTGGATAGTATTTAGACTATTACAGTATTTCTTGCCATGGGATAAAAAGAAAGGCCAGAAAAAGGCTGAGAGATAATACCCGTCATATAGATAATGAACTGTTAAGAGCTTAAATTTTGAATGCTTTGAATTTATGGCTCCTGTAGCTGAGAATAATAAGGGACATATAATTCAGAGTGGCAGGATGATAAAACAATGATCATTTTGATGGAATACAATTTTGTAAATTAATAAAATCTCAAGGAAGCATCAAGTTGAGGCATTCTGTGACTTTTTAAGAAGTGCCGTGGGCATGTTTGATGCCTACAACTTCCTCTGTTTTAGAATGTGGTCAAGGGAACACCCTTTTCTTCCTCCCGCAAGACAAGGTTTTGAACTCTAGCCTGAACCCTAGCTTAAAAATGGAAAACACCTCATCAGTGCCTCCTAACAGCTGCCTTCCCAGTTGCCCACTCTTATCCATACACAGGAAAAATGGGTTTAGCCTCAGTTGTGAAGACTTTTGCAGTCTTCAGCTCAGTTCTCCAGGGCTCTGATACTCAAGGTTTTGCCTTGTTTTATTTGGGGGGATGGTCCTTAATGGAGCACGGCCAGGCCACTGAGACTTCTCTGTTATCAAGATGGTTTAGTTTTCAAGAGGTTGAAAAACATTGCCGTGGAGCCCTGGGACAGTGAAGAATGACTCAGCACATGCCTAGATTACCATAATGCCAGAATGTGATTATTTTTTTTTCCTCATTGAGTTTATTGGTACATTTTAGGTATACAGTACAGTTACATTCATCATTGGGATCATGTACCTTTACATGACAGGTCTTGATTCTCATTTTTTCCCCTTGTCCCTGCCCTCCTTCACCCCCTCCTCCCCTTCCCATTTACAAATATTTTATTTCCATTTTTTCATTTTTCTCCTATTTTTTTCTTTCCCTTATTACCTTTTCCCACCGTTCCCACTTTCCCTGCACCGTTAGCCCTTTTCTTCCCATTTCACATTGTCAGTTATCTCAATAGGAACTTATGTACTATTATAGTTTATTCACACCAGAGAAACTCTTCGGTATTTACATGTGTGACTTATTTATTTCACTTAGGAGTATATCCTCTAAATGTATCCATTTTCCTATGAATGAATCTAATTTCTCATTCTTTATGGCTGAGTAGTAAACATTTTATAGAAAAACCACATCATCTTTGTCCAGTTTCCAACTGATGGACAACTGGGCTGTTTCCAAGTTTTAGCTATTACAAACTGTGCCACTATAAACATAGGTGTGCATATATCATTGTGAGATGATTCTTTTAATTCTTTTGGAAAGATACCCAGCAGAGGGATGGCTGGGTCAAATGGGACCTTCAGTCCAAGCTCTTTGAGGTATCTCCATGTTGATTTCCATAGTGGTTGCACCAGTCTGCACTCCCACCAACAATGGAGAAGGGCTCCTTTCTCCCCACAACCCCGCCAACATTTGTTGTTGTTTTATTTCTTAATAGCAGCCGTTCTTTGTG